TACATAAAGTACATTTTCTTGGTGGGTGGTGTCCTATAGGTGTTGAGTTGTAGATAAGTCTATATGCAATTTCTCTAGCTTTGGGTGTGATTGTTTGGAGGTTGAGGTTTCTAAAGGTGTCTGTAGTGTCTGTTAATGCATACTTTCTACACCATTTTATTCTAATGTGTAGAGGTGTGGCGAGTTTGGTGACTAACTGTTTGTATATGTTTTGTGATTTTTCTTGTAAAAGATGCTCGTTGTTTTTTAGTATCTGTATGCATTGAGTGTAGAAAGTGCTTAGTTTATACCCTATTGCGTGTGGTGAATTGTTGTTTATTTTGCTGAGTTTGTTTAATTGTATCCCTATGTAGTAGTGTGCTAATGGGTGGTTTTCTGGTTCACTAATTACTCTATGTATGTGTGTCAGTCTGAATGTGTTTATTTTTGTTTGGATGTCGTGTAGGTTTATCCCCCCCCCCCCCCGTGTAGTTTGCTTTGAACTAGGGTGTTGTGGCTAATGTTATGTATTGTGTTTTGAAAAATGTATTTCCTAATGTGTTTTATTTTTTTTACTACTTGGGTTGGTGTTGTTTGGGATGTGGCTACGTATATGAGTTTGGGAATGATGTATCTGTTTACTATTGTGGCCCTAGCGAATATTGTTGTCGTGCTGTATTTGTAGAAATCTAGTTTGTTTTCAATGTTTCGAATGATTAATTTCCATATGTCTTTTTGTGTACCTAGTGGGTTGTTGTGGTGTGTTATGCCGTAGATTTTGAGTTGGTGTGTGGGTGTAAGATTTAGAGGGTAGTTTTGTTTATTTTTCCATTGGCCCAGTCCCATTACCTTTGTTTTTTCTAGATTTATTTTGGTCCCGCTGGCTTTCCCGTAGTCGAGGAAAGTGTCCGTTATTTCTTTGACTCTTCTGTCCGTAGTGTGAAGGCTGTGTCGTCTGCGTAGGCTAGGGTTTTTTTTCCGTCATGTTTGGTATGTGTAGTCCTTTGATGTTTATGTTTTGTCTGATGCATTCAAGTAGGGGTTCTAATGTCAGTATGTATAAAATGGGGGAGAGTGGGCATCCCTGTCAAACTGATTTTTCTACTGTGAATGGTTTAGTTATGGTGTTGTTTATTAATAGGTGGCTTCGGGCTTTTGTATAAATGATATTTATCCATGTTGTAAAATAGTGTCCTATGTTATTTGCTGCTAGTGTTCTGTGTAGATATGTGTGTGCTACTCTATCGAATGCCTTTTCTTGATCTAAGCTAAGTATGAATGCTTGTGTGTTTTTGTCGTGCGTGTATTGAATGATGTCTCTGATTAGGTGGTTGTGGTTGTGTATATTTCTGCCTGTGATGCTACACTGCTGGTCTGTGTGTACTAGTTTGTGTAATCTAATCTGTTTACAAGTATTTTTGTTAGTATTTTGTAATCTGTGTTTAAGAGAGAGATGGGTCTGTAATTTTTGGTGAATTTGTGATCTGTTCCTGGTTTGCCTATTAGTGTAATGTATGAAGTGTTAAAATTTTCATGTGCTTGTTCTAGTATGCGTGAAGGAATAGTGGGTTTAAGTCTGCCGTGAAGGTTTTGTAGAATTCCGCTGTCAAGCCGTCAGGTCCGGGTGATTTGTTGTCGTTTAATTTCTTGATGGCTTTTTTTACCTCATCTAGCCGTATGGGTGTCTAATTTGATTCTGTCGCAGTCTGGTAGGGGTTTAGTATAATTCAGGTATTTGTTCTGTCTGTCTGTGTCAGTCGCTTCGTATTTGTACAGTCGTTTATAGTAGTCCGTGAAAATTTATTTGATTTGTTTTGGGTCAGTGGTCTCTATGTTGTTCTCGTCAGTGATGCGTTTGATTTGTTTTGCTTTCTGAATGCCTTGTTCTATTATTATGTTGTGGTGTGTTGGGTTTTCTGATCCTAACTGGTCTATACTACTCCTAATCATTGCCCCCCCCCCCTGTATTTGTATTCCTGTATTTCTGCCAATTTTCTTTCTAGTGTATCTAATTGTTCTATGTTAGTGTTTGTTTCCTTGAGCTTTTGGATCTGTGTTTGTATGTGTTTTTCCTTGTAGTTTCTGACTTGGTTGATACTTTTAGCAATTTGTATTGTGTTGTGTTTAATGTCTGTTTTAAGGTCTTCCCAGTGTTGTATTCTGTTTTAGGTGTGGATTGGGTGTAAAAATTAATGATGTCTCTAATTGTCCTAGTGTATTGGTCATTAGCTAGAAGTGAGTTGTTTAGTTTCCAATGTTTTCTTATCGTTAGTCTGTTGATTGTTGTTGAATGATACGAGTACTGCTGCGTGGTCACTGAAATGTAGTGTATTAAAAACATGCTGTACTTTGTGGATTTTCATTTCTCGCGGTGCATAAATTCTGTCTAATCTAGCTTTTGTGTTATGTCCTTTGTTTGTATGGGTGAATTGGGTTTTTCCCTAAATGTGTCTATTAAGTTGAAGTGGCTTTTTATGTTACATACTAGCGTACCCGACCCCCGCGCGTTGCCGCGGGGATAGAAGAAAGTCTGATGAAATATATTCGAAAGATATCACCAATGCATTACCAATCATATGTTCTTAAACGCGTGACGTCTTTTCTAAAAATGAGTTATTTAAATGTAAACAATGCCTCCGCTTGGATCATAAATATCTGGACACGGGTTTACCTACACTACCGCATGAAAACATTGAGTGTACATTAATCACTCACCGAAATAATATGGTAGAACACACTTCGGTGACCGCCCATGTGTCAGAGACATAGAGGGGCGCTCTCAGGGCCCCCACCCCCTGATTACACTACCGCAAAGGCGCGGTGTAAGACCCCTGGCTCCTTAAAACTAACAGGCGCCATCGTGCCAAATAGCCTCCTGTTAATAATGATGCAGATTTCGTCATTCGCTAAAGTGAAACAAATGAACAGGATTTTCTTTTAACACGTAAAAAAATTATTTGACGTGTTTTAAACATCAGTGTGACTGATGCAATATGCTAGCGTTACTAATGGTCTATTATTAGATGCTCGATCTCAATTTCTGACTGGATCGTCTAATAAGAGATGCTTATTGCATCATTCGCAAAGTGACGAAACTCTACAGTAGGCTCCTCATATTCAAAAAGTTATTTTTTCATCTTTCGCAAGTTGACGAAACTGTACAGAAGGATTTCCTCGCGTTACAAAGTTATTTTTAGAAGCCTGTTGTAGTTTTACTGCTGAATATAGTAGTACCCCTTACTCGCTATGCAGGACTCTCGATTAACGGATGCCAAGTGCCAACATCGTCGCTCTAAAACTCTGGGCGCCAAACCGTGTATTGACGAAAGTTGTACCCTATATGGCGCCGTCCATAAGAAACTTTAGTTTTCTTTTTCGCAGAAATATTCTCGATAGTATTCTCATCTACTCCCTGAAGTTTCATGGCACTCGGATGAACCGCATCCGAGTTTTATTTTTTATATACCGTGTATAGAGAAAAAAATCGCTCCACCCCCCGGGGGCGCCGCCCTTGCAATATTAAAAAATATTTTTTTGCAGAACCCTACCATTGAGTGATCTAATCATCTCCCCAAAGTTTCATGGTACACGGATGAACGGTGTGTAACCGAAATAGACTTTTATTTTTATAAACCGTATATAGAGAAAAATTGCAGCCTCCCGTGGCGCCGCCCTTGCGAAATTAAAAAAGGATTATTTGTTTTACAGAACCCTTCCCTGAATTGTTCTAATCAACTCCCCAGTTTGATGGCGATCAGATAAATGGTGTAAAACCAAAATGACTTTTATTTTTATATACCGTATATTGAGAAAAATCCCACCATTCCGTAGCGCCGCCCTTGCGAAATTAAAAAAAAAAAGATTTTTTTTTACAGAAACCTTCCCTGGAGTGTTTCAATCAACTCCCCCAAAGTCTCATGGCTATCGGATAACGGTGTTACACCAAAATCAACTTTTATTTTTATATCCCGTATAGTGAGACAAATCGCACCCTCCCGTGGCGCCGCCCTTGCGAAATTAAAAATTATTTTTTTACAGAACCCTTCCCTAGAGTGGTATAATGAACTCCCATAAGTCTCATGGCTATCGGATGAACGATGCCAAACCAAAATCGACTTTCTTTTATTTTTATATACGGTATATAAAGAAAAACAAATCGCGCCCTGCTGGGGCACCACCCCAACGAATTTGAAAATGTTTTTTTCGCAAAAACCTCCCCAGGAGTATTCTCCACATCTTCCCGAAGTTTCATGGCGATCGTGTGAACGGTGTCACTGCAATTCACTTTTATTATTTTTATATACCGTATATAGAGAAAAACAAATCGCGCCCTGCCGGGGCGCCACCCCTGCGAATTTGAAATTTTTTTTTCCGCAGAAACCTCCCCAGGAATATTCTCAACAACTTCCCAAAGTTTCACGGCGATGTGATGTGAGGTGTAGTAATGCATAAAGGACAGACACACAGACACACAGACATACATTGCTTTTTATATATATAGATAGATAGATGATGTCTGTGCTAGGTTTATCTTTTCTCATTCGGCGAGTCTGTCTATTTTCCGGTCCTGTAGTGTCTCGTCTGTCCTCTATGTTGTTGAAGTCACCTGCCAGTATAATATTTTGTTTGCCTGTAGTTTGTCGTCAGTATTTTTTCCAGGTCTGTAAAGAAGGGTTCATCCTTTGTGCTGCTGTTTGGGCCGTGTACGTTTACTATTGATATTTTGGTGTTTCGTTGCGTAAGTGTTACTATGTTTAGTTTTCCTTTTCTATCTGTGTATGTATCTGTTATGTTGAAATCTTTATTTATGATGAGTGTTGATGTTCCGCTGCCTATTTTTTGTGTGCTTAAGCTGTGGTGTGCTTGTATTGTTCCTAGTCTGCGTGTGTATCTGTCTGCTTGATATAGGCTTTGGAAGTTTGTTTCTTGTAGTGTGAGAATGTCTATGTTGCATGTGTGGATGAGGTGTCTAATGTACTTTTCCTTGTTGTGTGTGCCTTGTATGTTTAGTGTAAGTAGTGTTATTGTTTCCATGGGTTTTGTTTGGCCTCGGATGTCTCACCTGTTTTGGTTTGCTTGTGGTTGTCTGGACTGTTGGCTTCTTCGTTAGTTCTCTTTGTTGATGATCTTTCCTGGTATATGAATGTTTTCTGCCCGTGGTCGCTTTGGCTTTGTTTCTTATCACTGTAGAAGCGTAATTGCCGAGTCGTTGTCTCTGGTTTGTTTGTTTCCTTTCTCTGTCGTTTCTTCTCTTTTTTTTTCCTTTTTCTTGTTGATTGCTTGTACCCATGGTTCCTCTTCTCCTTGGCCGTCTTCCTTTTGTGTTTTTTCTTCTTCTTCTTCGTGTGTAGTCTCAGTGTCTCCGTCCTCGTCTTCTTCACTGGTGTAGCTTCCTTCTGTGCTGTAATCTTCGATTTCCACATACCTTCCCTTCCCGTCGATTTGAATGTTATCTCTCTCTCTTATGAATTGGCTTCTGCAAGCCGCAGGCCCGTGTTTAGTTGTGCCACAAAGAGGGCAGATTGTTATTCGTCCATTTATTTGTAACAGTAGAGTGTGACTTTCACCGCCTAATTCTACATCTAGGAAGTGGGGGAGGTCTTCTGTTTTTGAAATTGGCTGGAAGTCGATCAACCAACGGTCACTTTTGCCGACCCTGGTGGCCGTTATCGGTTCCTCTGCTACGCTTATTGATTTTAGTATGTCAGTGACTATTAGGGGTGTGTAGGTTGGTGGCACCCATTTTAACTGTCCTCTTAGCCCTTTTTTGTCGACGTCTGTTAGCAGAATACTGGCGCAAAGGCTGGTATTGTGTGCTATTTCTCTAAGATGCAGAGATTTGTATAACAGTTCTGATTTAAGTGTCGTATACCATTCCGTGGGCTTCCCTAGGTTATATACATTCACAATCTGATCTTCTTGTAATTTTAACTCTGTACATAAAACCTCTTCTATTAGAGTTTCATCAATCCTAATGTTTTTTTTTCCTTTTATCACACATCGGAGTGTGTTTGGGGGGTGTTTCCCCAGGGGTGTTGCGATCTAATTTGTATTCTGCGGAACAGAGTTCCACTCACACTGTGTGTTTCACTGTTGGAAGTTGCAGTGGTTTGCCTGACCTGTTTCAACATTTTTTCCACTTCGTTGAACCTCTCTTGGACTTTTATTACTTCTGTTTCAAGTTCCATTTTGAAAAAAAAAACAGTTTCTGAGCCCCGGGGGGCACGTTGTATCCGACGAAAAACAGTAGTTTGGCACAATACACAAATGTCACACAAGCTGGTATATTTTTTTTTTTTCCGATTTATTATATTTATTATTTTGTTTAAAAAACTTGTGTGAAATTTCAAAAGGTTATTTTAATAACAATTTGCTAAAAACTTGAATTCTGTTATCATTTATTAGACATTATTTCTCTCAAGCGATCCCATGCGATGAAAGCGTGTTGATCTTTTTCACACTCTCTCAAAACCTTTATAAGGTTGAACAATGTCGCTTCTTTCCCTTCCCTCTGTTTCCATTTTATGAGACAGTCTGTGACTGTTTTCTGCACCCTATTGCCGTAGCTTTCCAACATCTTGTCTACCTCCGCCTTTGTCAGCCCCAATGAGTACACGACACTTAGCCAGTTGTCACCGATTATCGTGGACAACTTGCTGGCGTCAACTTCTGAGATGATCCTGTCTGCCATTCCGCCAATCAAAGGTTCTTCTTTATGTGTCCCGTTAGACTCAGCAACACGTCCTGCCATTTTATGTATAATTTCAAGTTTGATAAAGTGTTAATGTATTTTTCCGTGGTATGTGAAAGTGAAAACCTCAAGAGTGATGATTCAAAATGGGACACAAGCTGGTATATAAAGTTCAATTCTGTATGTTAGTAACCAAGGATTACAATGGAATTTTAGAAAAAATAATACTTCTATGGTGACAAGTGTTAAATGTCTAAAGTGCTCATCGTCTAAATTCGGAGTTTCAAAAATTAACACTGAAGGTGTTGTAAAACAATTTTCATTTTTCAAACTGATTGTAATAATTGTCAACATGTTCATTAAACAAAATTTTTAAATAATATCATCTTTAACAAAAATTCTAATTATGTCTGAAAATTATTTACATTTAGTCCTTTGGCACTTATTACTTCCCTTGATAAATTAGGAAAACACAATTACTTCCCTTTAAAAAACATTAAATACTGGGGAAAAGAATTTATTTATTTTTACCCTTATGGTCAAACCACCTATGGTTAAAGCCCCACTGTTGTCTATCCCCTTATGATCAAAGCCAATCTATGGTCAAAGCACCTATGGTCAAACCTCCCTATGGTCAAAGCACTTAATATCACAAAAAAACGGTACCTTTTGTACCAGCACACAACACACACACAATCAGGGGACAATACAAGAAAGGGACGTAACAGATGACACACGATTGGAGATGTTAGTTATCATTTGGCGAATCTGTAATGTCTTTTTAAGTTGATGATCTAAATTAAATATATTTGATTTATTTTTTTTACAAAGCTCAGACATTCACCTTTCATTTTTGCCGCCATTTGGACTACATATTGCTGGAAAGTCATCTTCCCCCGAGTATGTGCTTGAATTCATGTTCGTGATTCATTATGCGGTAAGAATGGTACCGCACGGCTGTTAGCTTCTTTTTCTTTGTTAGATCTAATTGACCCATCTTCACCGCATGGAAAAACAAATTACGAACTGTAAATATGAGCTGTGTGTGATTCGAACATTATTTGAATGCTGCCACTTCTTTCTTTCTATGCTACATGTCGTTACTTGATTTTTCGTTTCTAAGACGGTCTGCACATAATATCTCCTTTCATATCCCAGGTATGTCCTGTCTGTTGGGGTCAATAACAATCCCAACTTCAAGGATATCTTAAATTTGCTCTTTTGTTAGCGTTAGAAACCTTGTGTACGGGTTATATGTTCTAATAACGCCCTCTAACAACTCTAATACCATATTGAATCCCCCTATTTTCTAATATGCCCATTCTAAGTTGGGCGCTGTTTTGTTGGGGATCCGGACAAAAGGCCGACATGGACAAAAGGCCGACACGGACAAAAGGCCGACATGGACAAAAGGCCGACAAGACAAAAGGCCGACTTCCAAAAGGCCGACATCCAAAAGGCTGACAAGACAAAAGGCCGACAAGACAAAAGGCCGACAGCCAAAAGGCCGACAGCCAAAAGGCCGACATCCAAAAGGCCGACAAGACAAAAGGCCGACAAGACAAAAGGCCGACAAGACAAAAGGCCGACAGCCAAAAGGCCGACATCCAAAAGGCCGACAAGACAAAAGGCCGACAAGTTTTATTAAACAACAAACTACAATTACAGACATGTTTGATTTTTATTGAAAACCAGTTACATAATAATAAAGGTATATTACAAAATAGAAAAAAAATAGGGCCTAGTATGACAAATTGTAAGCGACGCCACGCAAAAATTCAAGTGTAGTTCTGTTTCCCCTTTCTGCAATTACAGTTGTTATCCTGTCCTCTTTCTGTAAATATTGTTTTTTTCGCTTTTTTGCTGGCTCTCCAAGCAATATTGCCTCTATTTCTACTTCAACTCTACCTTGTTCCTGCTTTAGTTTGTTTAGTAAACAAAATACTCCAGGGTGATCCTTCCCTACAATTACCTGCCACCTCCTGTGCCACCCCTCAACCGTGTTTTGTGTCCTAGGAATCCCATGTACATGATTGTCATGTACAGACCAGAACTCTGGTGGAAAAAGTGGTGGAACCCTCACCTCTCTTGCGTTTAACAACCTCACTCGACCACAAACGTAGGTCTCGTCAAACCACTTTACTAACTCAGCTGTGTTTGGTGGGAAAATGTTTTTTAATTCATTAAATGCTTCCGGAATCTCTGCACTTGAAAGAAATGCAAGTGCTGCTATTTGCCGCATCAGCAGGCAGAACTGTGGATCCTGGCCATAAAGAAGTGCCAAACCCAACGCTTGTAGCTTTCGCCATATATTTTGGCTAAAATGAAAAAAACACCCTTTACTTGTAGCTGTTGGGAATTCAATGCAAGCATTGATTGCAGCTTTTTCAAAGTCAGTGACAATAAACCGTGGAGATAAGTGTATGTGCATTTTTTCTGCGATATCTGCGAGGTCCTGGAAAGCTCGTGTATACATAGCCTCGGTTTTTCGAGACATCAAAATGTAGACAAGCGGTAAAACTCTGCAGTTTTCGTAACCTACTGGGGCATGAATGGAGTAGATTTGTAGGAAAATATTAGGAGCAGTTTTGAAAGTACCATCCATGATCCAATACATAGCCTCACCAAGCTTTTGGATGTTTGATTCAGTAGAAAATATTAGCAACTTGTCATTGTTTATGGAGCTTTCCTTTAACAGAAACAAAGCTCCTGACTGTGTCAACCTCAGGTCATCTGGAATAGCCACATCTTCTAATGTATGTGGCTCTACTGGATGGTTTTTATTTTGAGTCCTTTTAATTCGCTTTGTTAATGCCTGCTTTGATGGCATATCAACCCTTGTTACCATGCTCATGTCAGATGTTGAAGCCTCTACCATTTGAGTTGGTAATTCTTGACTAATGGCAGCAATGGTCTTTAGCTGTGTCAATTTTTCACGAACGACGACGTCACTGGCTTGTGGTGCATGGTTGTGTGCACTACATTTTCTCAATGTGTGGGAACCATTTAAGAAAATGCTAGCTCGAGCTTTGCAGAGAGTATCTGCCGTTTCACGAGCAGCTAAATGCTGGCGTTGGCTACATTCCCAGTAAAAGAGGTCTCCTCTTTGTCTGTTTTTTGTTAAGACAAATCCATCAACAACAAGCATTTGTTTTCCCTTCTGTGACTCAATCACTTTACATTCCATTGTATCTAAAATATATAATTATATATGACTGTTTAAGTTTCTCATAAATATTCTTAGGTACATGTAACTGTTCATACCAATACCCCAGAGAATTTTAACAAGGAATGTTATAAGCTGTTGCTAATGTAGTAAAGGGCATCACTACCAATTGATTTCAGTTTAATAAAAGTTTCGTGACTAGACTGCACTGTATTTACTTTGTTACATTTTGTCTTATGTCATGCGTCAACTTGCCCCACCTACCCCGACTCACCTTCAAAATATAACATATTTTGTGTTTATTCAACATGTAGGCATACTAAATTGTATTTTGTTTATTAATATCAAATGTAGTGTTTCTTTTTAACAAACAAAAAAAAACTTACCAATATCAGCACACTTGTATCACAATCACAACAGAATTATTGAATCCAACGAATATAGTATACACTTTTTTCACTTTCACGCAATTCGCAATGGACGAAACTAAAATATAATTCAAAGTTTGTCGGTATTTAACATGTAGTCCAGTAAAGGCACGTGATCGTTCTACTTCATTCGGTTTC